GAACCATGGGTGAGGCAGCTGCACTGATATCAGGGCAAGAGCAAAGGAGGTTAAAGCTTTTATCACACAGTGCAAGATTAGGAAGGTCTAAAGCACTTTGGTGTGGTCACAAGAGAGACACAGCAGAGTCACTATCAGTTCATCTTTTCCTGARTAGCACTGGTGCAACAGGACTAACTCCAGCTGAAAGAAAAAGAGGTCAATGAAAGGAATATGCTTGAAACTACAATGATCAAAGTATGATAGAAACAAGACAATGGTGGTTTTGTATAGGAAAAARAATCTGTATTTGATCTAGTTCAGGCTTCCTTTTGCGTCAGCACTTTAAACACAGCAAAGGTTGAAACAATTCTCTTAACATTACTGGGAAAACTACTAAAACTATACGAGTTTTTAAATACAGCTTATATTTAACTAATAGCCTGAACAGCAAACTTACAACCAAGATGTTTCTCACTCGATTTTCAATGTATTTGGCCAAGGTAGAAATGAAGCAAACTAATGGAAGAGTCACTCTTCATGTGAAAGATAAAAAACCACACCAGCAACTCCTGATCTTGCCAAGTTTCTAACTCAAAATTCAGAATATTCCATTTACTATCAATGCAATTAAAGTAGAGCAATTAAGACCTTATGAACTTTAGTCTCTTCATAAATACTGAAGTTGTTTGGTACATTACAGGGTAATCTATATTACCACACTTGTTATAAATGMAGGTAGCTGCTGAAAATATTCTTCGAGAGAAAATTATTATTTGTTTACAGAACAGCCATCAAAACAATTATTTATTCTCATAATCAGAGAGAAATAGTAATAGCAACTAGCATACCCAGTAGACCAAAATTACTGAATTGTGTTAACAGTTATGTGCAATTAACTCTTGCAGCCTTCTGGCCAGACCATCTTTTCTACTTAGCTTTACTTGTACTCACTGTAGTGGAAATTATGGCTTCCACTACTGCTGGTGAATTATGGAAGTGGTCCAGATGGCCTGAGAACAGTTTCACAAGGCTGGATCCCAGCTCAAAGCAGGAGAAACAATTGGTGCAAGCAGTGAATGTACAGCGTGCTCAGTACAACATTTCTGTATGTGCACCAACAGCCAGAGCACCTCTCCCTGGGAATGAGCCCCAGCAATGCCAGCCTCTTCCTTGGGAGCTGCCAGGACCTTCCCCACACATTGCATTCATAGCACATTTTCTGCAGCACACTGAGAAGTGTAGGACAGRACTTCAGCCTATTCTTTCCTCTGAGCATTTAATCTGACATTTCATGCTTTCTGATATAATAGAGCCTAAGTACGAGAAACACTTGTATTTCTATAGAGTATAATTAATCAAAATTTAGAGGGGGTATATAAAAACTAAATAGAAAAGCAGTGTTAAAAAATACGGTAAAGACATTGCACTTAAAAGCCCTGACTACTAAATGGGTAAAACTGACACAACAATCAAATGGAAATACTTTCCACAAAGCAAAAGACAGATAGGCTAAATTACAAAATGCTGGGTAAGAATCTTGATGTCTCGATAAAATGCGGGCAGTTAAAACATCATCAATCAATCCCCCACTGTCTTGCAATACTAAAAAAAGCAAGTGAGAGTAACAGACAAGCCCCAGTGACAGATGAACTTTTTTACCAAGGAATAAAGCACATTTTTAGTGGCTTTTCCTCTTTGAGGAAATTCCTGAGCAATACCTGCTTACTAGCTCAGAGTAAAGTCTGCCAGTTAAGAAAACCCCACCCAGTAGCCACATTAATGGGATACTACAGCCACCATAATATTTTCTCTTAATCACAATCAGATTATCATTTACTGTGTAAGAGATTAAAGACAATTTTATTACTTCCCAGTGCCATTCTGCCCTTACAGTGCTGTAATTGTGACTGGTCAAGTAGATCTTTAATTTGCACAYCTCAAATACTGATTATCTGTGTTCTTCAGACGTCTACAAACACATACATCAAAGCTGCCGACTTCCACAGAATATTAACAAGAGCCCATTGTTCTTACATTCTTTTTAGAGTTGAAACCTGGTGCATTAGGTCTATAAACAGGTCCACTTAGTCATTTTCTTACAAGGTATTCATGTAGAAACTATAATGTTCTGTTCTCCCCAGAAGCTTATAATACATCACATGGATAATTGCATTTGAAAAGATTAAGCATGAAACACAAGAAACACCGATAAAATTCAAAGTACACCTGAGTCATCACAGGAGAAATACCATTATTTCTGAAAGAGCAGGTAGCAATACATGGAGGGGATGGGGGGAACCACTAAAAAAAAAACCCCAAAGCTATAAAAAAAAAAACAATTCAGGTTTCATAGAACAGATTCCTATAAGCACTGAGCAAGCAAATTAGCCTTTGAATTATACACACTGACCTGAGACACAATGAGCATGCCATGAAGTATTAAACACAAACTGCAGTAGAATTAGCCTTATATACACCCAACAGGGCATAAATCTTCACTAAARTCTCCTAGAACATGCAAAACACTCACACAAATAATGTACTTTCCACAGCTTCTGCTCTCCTGAAGCTACAAAGTCTTTTCTAAAAATTAGGGTATTCAAGAGCTGCAACACAGTTTTTTAGAGCTGACAGACTACCCAAGCAGCTTGGGAATTTCATCACTGCAGGTTTCTGAGAAGTTCAAGTCTGTATCTCTAAATGGTGACAAACACTAAACCTGTTCATTTAAATGCAGCATAACAGGAGACAGTTTTCTAAAATGGTTACTGACTTTTTTGTATATGCAATTGTTTTATATGAGCTGCTGTATTGAAGAAATTACCTCTTTTGCAATCRTGTTCACCATTATCTGTTCTGACACCCATTTCACTGGCAAGGATTCAACTACTCTAAATAATTCCATTTGCTATGTATTAATTGTTTAAACAGCTTTGCTGTCTCCTATCTGAACACCTTCAGGATAACTTCCACTGTTTTTCCCATTTACATTTGATTTAGAAAAAGTCATGCCAGAACACAATGCCACTTCTGAAACTAATAACAAAATGTCATTTGAAATGGTTCATTAAACTTGCAAAACATGCATTGCATCCTTCCTATTGAGCCAGTATCTATCTTAAAGACAGTAAATCCAATTTAAAACAACTTTTAATTGAATTCAAGTGTTGAAGTTCTTAATATGGCAGCTGACAGTATCCACAAAATACAGAGGGCAAGGTGTACGTTTGATTGTCAGACTAGCTCAACTAATTAATGAGGTTTAAAATTAATTTTGATATAGCAACATGCAATTTTTCCAACTATTACACTGACTTATTTAGTGGAAAATATTGCAGGCAAATGTTTTCCAAGTCCAGTTCAATATTCATTGTTATCAGCAGAGACACTCAGACTTAATCTTGGCATTTTTTGAAGGATCCAGAAACCCAACTTGTGTGTGTAATAATCCTGACGTGCCAGTCCCTACAGAAGGCAGAAACAACCTGATTGATATATGAGAGACCACGATTACACCTGTTTGGAAGGCATCAAGAAGCCATTTGTTTAAAATATACTCAACTTTCCAAAACCAGAGGGCCTTGAATTCTGTCTGACCTATGGTTGGGGATTGCCCCAAGCCCCTGGGCAGACACAGCTCTGTCTTAACCCGCTGTGTTCTACCAGTACCAAGTTACAAACATTTTTTCTTCAGAACATAGGCAGTGTTAAATGGGATTGTGGTAAGTGGCTGTACCCCAGCATTCCCCTCCCTCTTTTTCAGTGTCACACACTGCAGTGAGCTCCAGCTTCTCACCTTCAGCAAAGCTSAGGGCCAGGACTTGAGGATGAGGAGACATTGCCATCTCAGATGATGGTGCTTTTCAAGGGTCACTGCTCTGCTGCCTATTGAAGCCTTTCTTGCAAGGTTTATCTCCCAGGACACCCCAATGCATGAGCATTCTACATCAAAACAGTAAAAGTGCAACAAACCTCTGTTTATTGCATTCATTTCCCCTTTATTCACCATATAAAGACATTATTCAATAAGAATGTACAGACTAAACTCAGCAATGAGATGTTAAGGACTTCAGACTCTTTCAAAAAAATTAAGTTTATTTTTGACATACCACAATTCCTGTTCAAAAATAATAATAATAATGCCCTTTCCTCAGCACACAGCACAGATCAATTCTTTTCAGCTCTGTCAGAGTTATTCCTGTTTGCTTTTGTTATTCTCCAGATTATTACAAAAAAATCACTTCAGGATCTAGCTACTGCCACTACAGTATTTCAGCTTCTACCCTTGCTTTGTAGCTGAGTACATTCTACAGTCAATTCAACAGTAGTAGTCAAGAAACTAATGCAAGAGTGCAACTTCTGTTTTTTCTGTTAAAGATATAAACCCTGGCATCTGCAACACTTAGAGAATCTGCACAAGTCATTCTTATCCCTTTTATGGAGCTTTTAAACCCTGACTGCATTAATTTATTAATTTGCCATTAACTAATTTGTCTACTGACCAAAGAGAGARAAACTGACACTGGGAAATTATTAGTTTGTAGGTTAAATTAATTAAAAACAGTACAGTAGTGACAGAATTTAATCTCATACTTCTGAGAGCATGGAATCACTCACAACTGGAGAAATTTGTGATAAATCCATGGAGAGATTCCATGGTAGGAGGGGAATTAATTTGTGTCACCCCTAAGAGTATATGTGGTTACTCAACAGTACCTGTATTAAACAATGWTAAAAATACACAAATTGAGCAAACCAAACTAAACCTATTGTTTGAGCTAGCACAGGATACATGGCCTTCTAATATCAAGATACAATATTCTGCAACAATAAAATTCAGGGGATCACAGGAGTGGTCAGAATGACCAGAACATTCTTTGCAGTCTATATCTGTGCAAATGCACTTGAGTAAAGCCACATACAAGGACACTGAAGAGCCACTGAAAATAGATTGCCAAACTCAAAGCCCCACACCCAAACCATATCACTGCCATCACTGGAAAATATCACAAACTCACAAGTGCAGGAGAAGAGGGACCTCTGGGCCTGAATGAAGAGAGCAGCAGAGATTCACAAATCCTGTGGCAGAAAAACAACAGAGAGAAGTGTGAGGAGATGGAAGGATGAGCTACTCCAACCACACAGACTCTGGCTTCAGCAACAACTTGATTTCTTCACTCACTCTTTTCTGGACCTTAATACAAGACACCCTGAATACATGAGCCTCCCACTAAACCAGGCTCTAAATATCCACGAAACTGGACTGTTTTGAATGGAGGATGAAATAAACACAGCTTGGAAGGTTCTTTTGTTATTATTTCTTAATAACAGAATACTGATGCCTGAACCTGTCACCCTGTTGAGGTGCACTGTACACAATGCCTACAGCTCAAAGCAAGCACTGGTTTTGCAGCTTATACACAAGACAAGCCAAATGGCTTCAGTTTTACTGCTGAAAGAACCAGTGACAATGTGGTTATGCTACAAAAGTTTCCAGCATGCATTGTACAATTCTGCCCAGGAGCCAAGGTAAGTACACACATTAAGCAGACCACCCGTAAAAGAGAGATAATGTTTTGTCCTGCTTTTGGTATTATTGGCAARGTATCGTCTATGTGTGAGCAGAAAGTTGCACTGCAGCTTAAGACAAGAGCCACATTCGCTAGATGGTAGTGTCAAACAAATAATAGTCATGGTAATAACTAGAAGGAACTATCAAGATGAATCAATATAAAAAGAAATTACAATGCTTATGTAAAAGATTATTGTCTRTTCATTGAAAAACTACAAACCACTGAATACAACTGATCTGGCAACATGGCCAAATTGTTATTGATTTGCATTAAGAATTTTTCCCTACTTGACATTTCTAGAATTTTTATATAATTGTATATTAAGGCTCATAGTGAGGATGAGATCCATTACAAATTCCACACATCTGCTGAGATACGCCATTCTGAAATTAACTGTCTTGAAACCTAYATTTAGAGCACATGAAAGTAATTCGATTTCCCAATATTAACTCTTCTTATATCAATACCTGAATTTAAGATAGTTTGCATTCTTGTTCATGTTGCAGAACAAAACCAAGAGTCTCTTTTCTGTGGGGTCACTAGAAACAAATATTTTTGAACAGTTTTTCAGAGGAAGAGGTTCAAATGAGAAGGGTAACATTTAAAGATGAATAACTGTGACTTCCATTCTAAATAATTGTATGATGTCATGAAAACTTGAAATTTAGGTCATGAAACTGTGATGATTAAACCTAAGTTTTTATTGCCATTAACGTAATTCTCTTTTTTATATATAAGCAATTTAAGGCCATTTTAACAAGGATTTCAGCGTACAATGCTGACTTCTAACATTCAAAATAGACTATTGACCTCAGGGATAGCCACTCAGCCCCACAGGTACAGCAATGATCAATTCAAGATGCAGGCCAGCACCTCTGAAAATGATACTTCTTTGTACAGACTGTGAGTATGCAAACAAATAAATAAGCCTGGAAAGAAAGTTACAGAAATGAGGGAATTCTGGGGAGTGTGACACTCCATTATGATGCAGGTRTCAACCACTAAGAGATTTGTGTCAAACAAATTTCATTACAATTATAAAAAAAAATTTACAATTATTTTCCCCCATGCTGCTATAATTTCCTTTCGAAATTAAAATTACTGTGTGATACCAAACAATAACTATTTTAAAGAATTTGAGAGATACATTACACACACTATTTGCCTCACTGAGCTTCACATGAGCCRTCCTCAAAACTCAACAGTGATCTAGTGGTGCTGAAATGAACACCACAACTATTATTTTTTGGGAGGGAATTTAACATTTAGACTTCACAAACCAGCAAGCTACTTCCKGATTACTCTAAGACCTTATCACTAMGCAAATTTATCATATCTTTTGTCCACCATTGCCAATCTCATACTTCCACACAAGGAATTAATCAGAGAGCAACAACCTCTGATAYCTGATATCATTAATGACATTCCTTTATTAACAAGAAAAGAGACTATTTATCACTATTTATCTGCTTCAGGTTTTACAAGCAGCTCACAACAATTGTGGGTCCAGTTTCAGAAACAGARCCACACTGCAAGGGCTCAGAAAAGCATTTCTTTTGATCATTGTCTGAAAACCCTTCTGCTCACAGGGACAATTTTAGACTTGCATTTCCATCTAGCTTTGCCGTCTACTTGCCCTGCTGTAGAACATTGAGGTCGTTGAAGCTGCAGCTCCCTGACTGGGAAAACTCTCTGCAGTGAGAAGAGGAACCAACACACTCCAAGCAGCACAGAGGCCAAGACCTGGTGCAGACAGGCCACAGCTTGGCAAGACAGAAAAATTAAATTAAAATCACAGAACAGAACAGAGAACAAACTGGGTCAAAGGAAACAATGAGGCATTCAGGGGATGGCAAAGCATAGAATTTTATATGGGAAAAAAGGCAGTGGACTTTGCTAAGAATGTTGGGGCTTGTTTTTTTTTAAATAATCGGCACCTTCGGGTAAAGTTAGGGAAGCCTTTTCTCCAAACTGCTTTTAACATAAAAAGCAAATCATAAAAGACCACAAAAYTATTATTTCTTATACCAATCTCTGCAAACTACCTTAAGTTAAAACAYAGAAAGAATTAAATATCATGTGCTGTAAAGTTCTTTTTATTTTTATCTGATACTTCACTTGATACTCAAGGAGAAAATTGTGTTCGACTTTGAAGATGCTCCTAAATTAAATTTCCTTGTTCAAATTAGAAACTTTGACATTTAAAATTAATTTTTATAGGGTAATAAACTCAGGATATTTCATAACTCCATCCGAGATATGAGGCATCTCTGACCTACTGACAGCTTACACTGAATGAAAGTCATCATTAAAGACTCATGAGGCAGCACAGCAACAGATACTTTAGAGTGACTTATTTGAGTGGTAAAGAYAAATAWGAAGAAAAAARTTTCCTTTTCTAAAAACTACTGCACTGCTCTAAGTCAAGTAGAAGGGAGGTGTCCATACATCCAGTACAGCCTGGTTTTATTAGCACTGCAATAAGAGTCATGTAATCAACTGTTCCACAGACACCCCCAGCCCTGTTGTTTAGCATAGGAAAGTCTCTCCYTTCATCCCCATTCCAACATAAATATTAAGTTTCTTCAGCTCCACTGATCTGTRCCAGTAACGGAGGAAGATTTCTGAACCTACTAAATCTCACAAATGCTCACTGATAAAATGAGACAGGTTGGTAGAGATTTACTTGATTTCGAAACTGAATTAATTTTCTGCTTTATCAAAACTGGATTTAAGCAGTCACAATAGTTTTAAT